GTTACAGCCCATCTGGACACTATTGTGAGCACCAAACAAAGGAAGAACAGTTTTCATGCATACAGGAAGGGGAAAACTCTTACCAACTGCTTGGATGCAAACAGCCAATGGTATTGGAGACTTGAGATGATGAAGCAGGTGCCAGCTCGTTGGTGGAGATACCATTGCAGGGTAGTTTCTTCTGTCCTGACCATCTTTTTCTATATTGATACAACCTTAAAGACTACTAAAAGTGTGCACAGCTTGTACATAATGGGAAGCACTTTCTTGTGCATCCTGTAGAAACTCCTGGAGACAGTACTTATAACACACAAGCAGATATGCATTCCCCTTCATAACATCCTGACCCTGACAAACACAATTTCATCTTGGTACCAATAACCCATAAGCCCTGGCTCCACTCTAACTCTGTTGAATATGGATTTTAAAGAGGTAAACTAGGGTCCTGAGGGTAGGCCTGATCCGGTATAACCAGTATCCTTAAAAGAGGAGAGACACCAGGTGTGTAGATATCCCCAAAGAAGTTGCTAGATGAATGTTCAGAGAAAAAGACATCCACACACTGAAGAGAATACCCTCTAAAGAAAGCAGGCTAGCTAACACATTGACCTTGGCCTGATAGCCTCTCTACTGAGAGAAAATAATTCCCACTGTGTGAGCTGCGCAGGAGTATTTTATCATGGAATCCCTAGCAGACTCATTCAATTGTTACGTTTGGGAATAACTTGTCAAAAATAGATAATATACTTTTGTTTGTTATCCTCCCAATAAATAGAGCCATTTTTCATTTCATAAGCCAAGACCCTCTCAACAACTTAGCCTCAAAGTGTGCAGGTTAGATAAATGAGAAAAATTTATTCAAACACAATCATGTTTCTTGGTTTTGCTTTGCTCTGCTCTGTGGTGCTGAGGACTGAACCCAGGATTTTGTACATGCTAGGGAAGTACTCTACCACTCTGCTGTATCTCTAGTCCCAAATGTGGTGTTTAAAAGCTTGGTTATCTCCCTAATTATGGGACAAGACCCTGGTAAGTGAAAAACAGGCCCTTCTTTGTCCTCTATGTTTTAGGAGAAATTTGTGGAAAATGATTATTAGGCTGTGTGTGACCCTGTTCGATTTTAGACTGCAACCATGACCAAGAAAAATAAAAGAAGCATGTTTCCAACCCAGCTGTGAACATCTGTCTCCTCAAACGCATCATTTCCCTCTTTCTCCTTTCTTTAGCCGAGCATCCACCTCTGCCAGACACTGCCTCATATGAAATCGCTCACCTCTCCTGTTCTTCAAGAACAGTGAATAGTCTCCACTATCCTTTAAAACTTATTAAATGTCTTTGCAGAGAGTAAGGGATTCAATAAATGTTTGGATAAAGGATCTGGTCCCTCAGCTCTATCCTCCGGCCATCCTAAACTAAGTCTTTAAAGACTCGTCCCTAAGACATGAGCTTTGCTCCTTTGTCTCGCTCCCTCGAGAGAACGGCTCCCGACAAAGCCAGAGCCTGGCCTCCCTGACAGACAATTTTACCTTCAACTTGTGACTTCGGATTGACAGCTAAGCTCTTCTCCGCTGCTTAACTCCTGGCAGTCTGTGGTGGTGTGAATGTGAAGTCTCTCCCACAAGCTCACGGGGTTGAATACACAGCCAGGCTGCTCGGGAAGGTTCTAAAATCTTTAGATGAGGAGCCTGGCTGGAGGAAGTGGCTCTAGCCATTCCCACTAGGGGGAGCCCTTGAGGTTTGACTTCCTGGTCCCAGCTCCCTCTGCAAGTCGGGTTTCTGCTTTCTGACTCTAGAGGTCGTGGGACCAGACAGACATTTCGCTCTCCTGCCTCTGAGCTTCTCTGCCAATATGACCGGATCTCATTAAACTGTGAGCCAGAATAACCCTTTTTGTCCCTTAACTTGCTTCTTCACGGGTATTTGGTTACCTCAACAAGAAAAAAATTAACTAATATGAAGCCCCTTTCCACGGACTGTGGCTATCGTCTGTCTACCTTGCATCTCTATATCCATAACCCCCAGCACACATTCCCTTCGCTGATGGGCCACTTTGTGTCCCTACGTGGCCTGAATCGTCGTCCCCCAGCGTATAACCAGCCCATATCTCAATTATTTTGTCTGTCTAATTCCAGGATGTGGTGGTTTGAGTGAGAAAGGACTCACACGTTTGAGTACTTGGTCCCCAGCCAGTGGGACTGTTTGGGAAGGATCTGGAGGTATGGCCTTGCTGGAGAAGGTGTGTCACTGGCGACAGGCTTTCGGGTTTTGAAAACTGACACCGTTCCCAGTTAGCTCTCCCTGCCCCTCGCCTGTGGATCAAAATGGAAACTCTCAGCTACAGCTTCAGCACCACCGCTCTGTGCCTGCCTGCGGCCATGCTCCCTGCTGAAGTGATCAAGGACTCTAACTAACCCTCTGGAACTGGGAGCCCTGAAATCGAATGCTTTCTTTTATAAGTTGCCTTGGGCAAGATGCATTATCACGACAGTATAAAATTAATGAAAACACAGAAAAAGCCATATGCAGCAAGCTACTCAAAGATTAGGAATTTTCGTGATCTGTTGGTCTTAGATGCCACACACTGTGTTCTCCCTTCAGAGTGCTTGAGTACAGTAAGAGGCTGAAGTCCGATGCAGAGAAGTCAAGCTACTGCGGTATGCGCCCCCTTTAACCTTGGAATGATTATAGTCTCCAAAGCCCGTCTCACCCACCCCAGCACAGCCTCTTGGGTGAATGCTCTCACTTGCCACAGCTTTTTTTAACCTACCGTGGTCAAATAAAGATGACGCCTCAAAAGCAATGGGCTGCCTTGCTTTCCAGGGACAAGCTTTAACCCTGAATTTTCAGCTGTTCTTTCGTCATTTTGTAACTCACTCCCTGAACGGCCCAGGGCACCTCGACTGCCAAAAGTACTCCCGGTGGGATTTGTTCACGGTATCCTTCTCTGCTGTGGGATGTTCTGTAGGTCCTGTGGGAGCCCATTCTCAGGTTCTTTGTGGCATTACCCAGCAGGTCCGTATAGAGGATGATTAGGACCATGGGCCTGAGTGCAGGTGTTTGAGATGGTCTGCACTTGGCTGTGCTGGG